GTTCTGGGGTAAATCAGAACTTATCAACAAGACATTCATCATCTCCTTTAACGTTCTATTCTTCCTTTTCGCAATTCCATTAGATTGCGGTGAGTAAAAGGCAGTACTTTGGTGAATGATGTTATATTCCAAACATATTTCTTCTAAAGGAGATTCATATTTGATGCCCCTATTACTTTGTAGAGCCAACCACAAGAACTGTTGTTTATGTCACGACAAAGCCAGAATAAATGGTGAAGTTTTTAATCTTCAAACCAATCTGACACAATCAGAATTAATAAACGGTGAAGTTTTTAATCATCAAACCGAATGATATCTAATATAACCAGATCTAATAGACGGTGAAGTTTTTAATCTTCAAACCGAGTATATGTGACACAATCAAATTTAATAAACGATGACGTTTTTAATCTTCAAACCGAATAATAAATTCGAGTAGAGAATCACTAAGATTTTAATCTCCAAAACGAGTATAAAGTCACTTAGACTTTAATTTCCGACAAATGAGTAGAAAGTCACGATGACTTTAATCTCAACGAACAAGTACAAAATCACGCAGATTTTGATCTCGAAGCCGGAGTAAAAAATCACGAAGATTTTAGTCTCCAAAATCAGGGGTATAAAATCACAAGAATTTTAATTCCATTTCCAAATGGTTTTCCAACTAAACCATTGTAACACTCAAATATTTCAACAGTTTGATATATTTTCTTATCAAACAAACATATGTAATTTCTTTACATATATTATATTCATGATCTCAAAAATACTTTCAAGTATTAATATAAGCCTAATTTATATGCCAAGGTGCCAATTTCATTTGGTAAGCCGAATAACAATTTTCCTTAAAAAAATAAATTATTCCTAATCCTAGCATACAAATAGGATATATTTTGAGATCATCAAATAAACATCCACCCTAATATTTATTTTAAAAAAAAAAATTGTATCTCATCAATCATAAAGGGTAGAAAACTAAATATGAGTAGAGCAAAGAAAGTAGAACCCGATTTGTAGCCACTTATTTTCTCCTCGAATCATCGCCTCAACTGTTATAGGACTTTTCTTTATCTATTGGGATCAACAATTTCCTGTCTTCCGGTTTTTTCGAAAATATCCCACTTAGAAATTTGTTGTTATCCAATTTTCTCGTATCAACTGGCCCTTTCAATGACTCCAAGCAATGGCAAGTTTGAAGAAAGTTTCTCATCCTCAAACGCTGGACAAATTTCAATTGAGGTATTGCAGAATCTTTAATTGAACTATTGAAAGTAATGCCTCTCGTTCTACCCCATATATACTTATGAGAAGTTTTGTGATATCTCCTTCGCCTTTTGGCCTGCGGCAAGCGGATGGAGACATTGGACCGCCAAACGCCAGCATCTAAACCAACTTAATTTGGCCTTTTGACTTTTGAATACCAATTTAATCTTGATAATATCATCGTCCAGTAAACGAATAACTTGTCTCTTTTTGCCAAAGTCTATTTCCTTCACTTCGTTAAAGCAAAATGCAGCAGTTGTGAACGGGTGTGAAAGAAAAATAACCACAAACTTGATCTCACAAGTGGCGTCACAAAGTTTTGCAGAATTTGTTTCTTCAGAAGACAATTGACTGTGTCATATTGTTAACTTGAAATGAAAGAAAACTCAACTAATATGTGAAATTACTTCGTTCATTGTGTCAGGACAAAATAACACCCTTATGGAGTATTTGAGCCTTATTCACGTTGAGTTGTAAAATCTTAGCAATCATACACCATCAACCATTTTTGCCAGAAGGCTTAACAACTTAACTGTTATATTAAAGTGACCAATTAGCAAAAATTACATTTGTTCTCAGGGATGAAATTATTAAAATTCCAACTGCCATCACTCGAAACCACATCTTTAAATTGGGCAAAATCTTACATTAATCTATGGCAGAGAACATAACAATTTGATGCCTTAGCTCTATCCAATGTGTCAAGGGATTGACAAAGGACTTAAGCATAATTAGCCCTGATTTTCTTTGATGCAGAGAGTTTCAATTTTCTCGTGGAACAAATTCCAACACTTCAATGTCTCTTTCTCATTTAGTCTCCAACACTCAAACGTCAGACGAACACAAAACATAGTAATTAAATATTTTAAGATTGTTGGTATTACTGTGTTAAAAATCAGAAAATCAGAGAAGAAGAGAAACATTAGTTTAATAAAGAAAACAGAAAAAATAATTCCGAGCCCACAAGTTGCTTGTGTGTCCTTAAGAATTTAATCCCCTCACTGTTGCCCAAGGTTTTGGATTAATTTCTCCCATGATAGAACGGAATAACTATTCTGCAATACTGGCAATCGAAATTATAGAATTTCAGCGAACTCAACAGACGAAGCAAATCACACTTGACACTTATGTTAATTTGAAAATAATGCAAATAGAAAAGAGGGGAGAAATTTTTAGATTTTTCCATGTCTTAAAAATGAGGCCAAGCCTCTAAATTTATAGACAAAGGAAGGGTGAGACGGAGAGGTGCAATCTAAAAGGTGCCTCTTCCATTTCCCATTCACATCCTTTAAAGAAAAACGCAACAATATGTAGGAGACATTATTGGTTAAGAAATTGGAATGGTCCACACACTGGTCTTTAAGCATTTTCTCAATGTGGTGACTATGGTCCCTACTGGTTGAGTACTTAATTTTACTTTTGCCATAAGATATGTAATGTCAGAAAGTCCACTAAAATAAGGAGATATTACTGAAACATTGTAAGACATCAAAAGTCCTATCCTTATGCCTGTGCTTAATTTTATACTTTTTCTCATGTAGTGTTTGAGAATAGAAGAAGAATGAAGTGTCCGTGTACTTGTGCACTTAAGAATTCCAAAGTGTCATAGCTAGCTATTTGGGAAGTAAATACGAAAAACTCTTTATACTTTAACTCTCACCTTTTCTCTTTCATGCTAACAAAAGACTAGATTTCTTCTGCGAAATTCACCGTACCAAGTTACGTGTAAGTTCAACATAACAGACTGAACAAATTCGCAGATGGTATTTTTGTAAGATTTTGAGCCCTATTTTCCAAATGAATCGACCACGTCCTCCTACTTTATTTTAAAATCAGGTCTTTCTTTATATTTCCTGCTAAACCTTGTAAATGTCCATCTCCTTTAAATTAAACATTGTGAATGTCTTTCTTTTCCCACTTTACTAATTTTCCCTCTAAGGCGGACCAAGCAACGACGGGCACGGGAGGAAGAAACCTCATAAAAGACACTCCGATAAATTCTTAGGTCCTTTTAATTTAAGAAGAACAGAGGGTAGATTATACACTACACAAGTTAACGTCAATAAAGTGATACTCATGAGGCTAGAATATGGAACCGGCAATGGAAAAGGACATCACAGAATTCCATTGCCTTTGCCAGCTGAGTGGTGTTTCCCATTTTCTTGTTTCCACACTGCAAATCTATCAGTTAGTTCAACCAACTTCCGAAATTTTTCTTGCCGCAATCGTTGTGGAGTCTCCTTTTGTTGTTGTTACTTCTTAATCGAATTTTATCAAGTTCCGCCCATGTTTGACATATATGTTTTGTTAAAGTGAATGTACTTTTTCAAAGGAAAATAAGGCATGTTTAGCAAAAATTCTCCACAACCAATACGAAGCAGAAAGTAGATCTTGGGTCTTTGGCTGTGACTTCACTTGCAAAATTAAAGTCATTATTTGCACGTTTGTAGTCTGCTCATCAATTTTTGAGGAAATAGAACTTTAATATTAATATTAAATAAATCTATAATATTGAAAAACTTATTTAAAAAGTTTTCAAGTTAAATAACACTCATAGTTTTCATTAACAAAACTTTAATTTTGTTTATGTCCAATACTCATTTAGAAATTGGAGTTGTGTTTGGACATGAATATGGATTGGAGATTTGAATTTATGTGAGAGATTTATAGCCTGTTTGGCTATGCTGGAGAAATCAGCTTATTTGGAGAGAAGCAGTTTGTGTTTGGCTAATTACTCTGGAAAGCACTTTTGAGTAATATGTATTTGACCAAGCTTTTCAGAAAGTGCTTTTAAGTATCAAATTATGAATAAGGACATGAATAGATATTACTTAATAGTTAATATTATAAGTAAATAAATAATCTCAAATTTTGTTACTACATGCAATAATTAGTTAAATCTTTTCATTTTATTTAAGTAAAATATGAAAATAAAATTACAAAATACTTAATTCTTTTAATATAAGTTAAATATATTAAAAATCTTTCAACAAATATAAAAGTATTCACCCCTAAAGTCACTATATATTAGAAAGTTATCCTAAAAATAAGAAAAAATATTTATACATTAATATCCTAAGTATTATGCTTAATGATTATTTTGGTATATACTATATTTTGTTAAGGGCATTTTTGGTAAGAAGAAAAGTCAAAACTGTTTCTGCTTCTGCTTTTGGGAAAAAACTACTTTTTTCTGATTCTTAGAAACTGTTTCTACTTCTTCCCAAAAGCATTTTTCCCCCAAAAAAGTTTGGCCAAACACCTCAAATTAGGGAGAAAAAATGCTTTTGGCCTTTTGAGAAGCTTGGCCAAACAGGCTATTAGAATGAAAGTTGTGAAAAATAACTTTTTAGAGTTTTTCGAATTCCGAAAAGTTCCGGAATTCAACTTCAAGTTTGATTTGAAATTTTCATAATCAAATAATGATTCCGGAAAAAGTTAAAAAAAATCCAAAAAAGAAAATGAACTTTTTTATGGTTCATTTTTTATTGGGCAAACGAGCCCTTAAAATGCCTTGAACCTTTTTTTGGAAGACGCTTATATGCTATTCATAAGATTTCATAAAAAGATTCGAATTTGCTTTTCTTATGAGAAAAGATTACTTAAAAAATAATTTATAAAGGATGTGGTCCCAGCACTTCCTCCGTACATTGGCCCGGACAACAGACGTACCTTTACACGTACACATCTTTAGGCTTCTCACTTTATAAATACTAGCGCTCTCTGCTTACTCTGCCTCACAGCTCAACCAAAACCAAATCCACCTTCAATTTTCCGATTTCTGTTTCTTCTCAAACCACTACTTCAATTTTCTGATTTCTATTTCTTCTCAAACCACTACATATATTGTAATTTTAGCAGTTCCAGCTTTTAATTAAACTGAAGTTGTTTCTTGCATTGAATGTTGGAAGGAGAGAGTTCGAATTATTGTTACAGAAAGAATGGCGGAGAATCAATATTATGCACCTTCCCATTCAGACCCATCTCGGCCTTCACTAGGCTTCCCGCTGGGCACTGCCCTCCTCTTGCTCATCATTTTCAGCTTGAGCGGAATCTTTTCTTGCTGCTACCATTGGGACAAACTCCGCTCTCTCCGTCGATCTTTTTCCGACGGTACGGATCTCGAAGCCGGTGATGACCCTTCTTCTTTGAAATCTAAAGCCCACATGGTAAGATTTCATCAATTCCCTCTTCAAACGACACAAAATCAATCGACTAATAACGATAACTTCCAGTTTAATTGGGTTGGTTATATAAATCTTTCGTATCCGTTTCATTTTATTGGAATTCATGTCTAATAATCCATTGCAATATATCCTCTTTCTTTCTCTGGTTTGGGACCGACGGCTGGCAGAGTTCATCTAGCTACACATAATAAAGTCCAAATTACTTCATTGCTATTTTACTGGACTGTAGTTTAAAAAAATTTAAAAAGAAAGCTTCTATTACATAGTATTAAAGTAGCTTTAAAACTTGTGATGACTACAAGAATATGTCAGTTTATAACTTAAGGGGTGATTTCGTTAGGGATAATGGTGGAATATCACCATTTTAGTGTAAAAGTTATTTCGGAATTAGCCAACATCTCAAACTAAATATGGAAATTTTATCTCAAAATTATTATTCTTATCTCATATACCAAATAACCCCTATGAGATTAAAATATCTCTAGAGTTAGTTGTACATATTGCTTACTAGGTTGAATAATTGTTTTTCCTTTCGAAGTGTCAAATATAAAAACTGTCATTCTATTTGAATAACCTAAAAAAAGAAAGAAATCTGAATTATCTTCTTGCTCTGTTTTGCAGAATTGGAAGCAAAACCAAATATCAAATATGCCGGCGGTGTTGATGCCTGGAGATCAAGTACCAAAGTTCATAGCATTGCCATGTCCATGTCAGCCTCTCCGGCCAGGAAAGGTAGTTGTAGAGATGCAACCGCCGCTGCCGCCTTCTCCTCCGAAGCCACTTCATATGGCAGTCGCAGTACCTTTCTATTAGAAAAGCTACCACGGAAACTTTAGAACTGGACCAGTAATTGGTTGCGTGTATAGTGGCATAGTGGAATATAGTGAATTGTAGTTCAATCAAATTCGTAATGTTTTTTACTTGTAAATATTAATGCACTTTGAGCAATTTTCTAGTACGGCTTTTAGTTTACTCTTCGCGGTTGCTGTGTAATGCTTCGTACCATGGAGGTCGTATCTAAAATCTTTTACCGTGGTGTTTGGTGAAAGGGTTTAAAGTTATACTGTGTAATGTCTCTACGACAACATCCATATATTTTACCTCTTTATAACAGCTTTTTTCCTACAACAGCAACAACCATATTTATAGCTAGTAGAACGCTCTTTGTAAAATTATCTCTCTATAACAACTATATAAAATCTTTAAGATTACTGATAACAATTCTAAAAATATCCCATACAATCTTTTCCATTGAAAAAAGTTTCTATCTTGCATAAGACATAAGATTTGAAGATCTGCACATGATATATTTTCATTGGATTCTTTTTTGCTGAAAAATTTGACACGAATCTTCGTCAATTCAAGCATATATAGGTGTATAACAGTCATTCGCTATAAAAAGTCAAAGAATCTCGGAACAAACGACGCTATTATAGAGAGGTTTGACTGTATATATTTTATGCGTAAAGAATTAATTTGTACGCTATTAAATTATTTTATTTTTGTGAAATTGAAAGATAGACGAGAGAGACACGAGCTCAGTGTGAGCTCTAACGGAGGAAACACGGAGTATACAGAGAAGGAGAGAACACGAGTGAAGTTGCTAGAAAGGGAGCTGGTTCATTCATTTTTAACAACTCAATTGAAAAATACAATTAATGTCCCTATTTATAATATCTACTAACACTATAACTTACTAACACTCTTACTAACTAATGACAGCTCATTAGCTAACTCTACTAACTATACTAACTAATGTAATTGATGTACAAGTACTGAATAAAAGAATAAATACAATATTATGTATGAGTAATCTCAACACCATCCCCCTCTGTCCCCCCCCCCCCCCCCACCAAGTTGGAGGTGAGGGGCTCACTGCGAACTTGTCAAGAAGTGTGGAATGCTTGATTCCTGTTAGAGACATGGTAAAAATGTCAGTCAATTGGTCATTGGTAGGAGCATGGTGAAGGGAAATTAATCCTTCCTACAGTTGGTCTCACACAAAGTAGCAGTCCACTTCAATATGCTTCATACGCTCGTGGAAAACTGGATTCCTTGCTATGTGTAGGGCAATTTGACTGTCGCAGAATATAGGAATGGGCAAGGCTAGAGGAACAGTGAGTTCAGCTAGAAGCCTGGCTAGCCAGACAAGTTCTCCAACAACCATCCTAGCTGATTTGTATTCAGCTTCTGCAGAGGATAAGGAAATGGTGGACTGCTTCTTAGATTTCCAAACTGATGGGCTATCACCAAGTAATACTATGTAGCCATTGACTGATTTTTTGGATTGGGAACAAGTAGCCCAATCAGAGTCACATAAGGCTTTCACTCTGTAATCCACATCATTACTAAGGAAAATTCTCAAGGATGGATCACCTTTCAAGTACCTTAAGACATGATATGCAGCCTTAAAATGTGGCTCTCTAGACTTTGCATGAATTGACTAAGATGTTGTACATTGTATGCAATGTCTAGCCTAGTATTAGTGAGGAAGTTGAGCTTTCCAATCAGCATCCTGTAATAGGAGGGATCTGTCAATAGAGCTCCATCATCAGCTTTTAATTTCATAGAAGAATCCAGAGGAGAAGTCATAGGAGGACAATCTATACAGCCAAACTCTTTCAAAAGATCCATAGTGAACTTCTTCTGTGACATTAAGACTCCTTTCTCTGTGCATTGAACTTCCAACCTAGGAAGTAATGAAGTCTCCCTGGGTCCTTTATCTTGAAAGTGTTGTGTAGGAAGTTCTTCAAGGACTCAATCTCCTGTAGATGAGTGCTTGTGACAACAACATTATCTACATGGACATCCACAAATACCACTGATCCTTCAGTCTTCTTATAGAACAGAGAATAATCAAGCATTGAGTGAGTGTACCCCCTTGAACATAGTGCTTCAGTTAATTTTTCATACCACTATTTGCTTGCTTGTTCGAGTCCATACAGGAGCTTGTTTAATTTGCACACTAAACCTGGTCTCTCCATAACCAGACCTAGTGGTACCTCCACGTACACTTCTTCATGGAGATCTCCATGGAGAAATGCATTAGTAACATCTAATTGTAGAACCTCCCAACCCTTCTTGATTATTGTTGCTATTAAGGCCCTCACAGTTGTCATTTTCACTACTGGTGAGAAGGTTTCTGTATAGTCTATCCTAGCTTGTTGTGTGTAGCCCTTAAAACCACTAGTCTTGCTTTAAACCTTTTTATGCTACTATCTGCTTTATGTTTGATTTTATACACCCATCTACACCCCTATTGTCTTCTTCCCAATTGGAGGAGGGACTAGATCCCAAGTCTTATTTGCATACAATGCTTGGAATTCTTGATTCATTCCTGCTTGCCAAGCAGGCTTCACAGCAGCTTCCTCATATGAACTAGGTTCACATTCATGTAAGACAGCTTCCATCAAATGCTGACTGGTGGAATTTAGGGCATTGAACAAATTATGATAAAGTTTGGGCATAGAAGTGGTGAAGGAAAAGGATTGTGTACTTTGGCTATCATTTGAAGGGGATGACTGGTTTTGGTGAGTACGTTGTAGTTTAGAAATTGCATGCTCAAATCTTTAAGGTAAGTAAGAATTTTCAAGGTTTTGGAAGGTCTATTATGATCTAAAGCCTAAATGTTTTGGTCTTGAGTTGAGACATTTGGACTGTCAGCAGCAGGAAGAGTTCCTGATGTTTGACTGCTCAAGGGTGACAGAGAAACTCCTGAGTTATTATCAAAAGAAATAGGTTGAGGTGACATTGGATCTAATTCAGACAGTGGTTCATCCCTAGTCAAGTTCCCTGGTGACACTTCATGGTGATTTTCATTCACTAAGTGTGGAATGCTCCTTATATCATTGGAAGGAAAAAAAACATCTGATAAATGTGACATCATTTGAGGAAATGAAGGGAATACCTTACTAGGACTAGTAGATAATGCAAATGGAAACACACTTTTATAGAACACTACATCTCTTGAAATACTTATTTTTTTTGTGGCCAGATTTAGTACTTATAGCCTTTTGTCCGAAAAGGATATCCCACAAAAACATGGGGAATAGATCTTGGTTCAAACTTATCTTTGTGGGTTTTGAGAGTGGTAGGAAAGCATAAACACCCAAAACTTCTAAGATGGGAATAACTTGGTTTCTTTAGGTACAGTAGTTCAAATGGACATTTAGTTTTGAGTGATGAAGAGGGTATTCTATTTATCAGATAGGTAGATGTCAATATACACTCTCTCCAATATTGCATAGACAATTTAGACTGATATAAGAGTGCCCTGGCTGTTTCTAATAGGTATTTATATTTTCTTTCCACCACACCATATTGTTGTAGTGTATATGGATATGTTTTTTGATGTATGATGCCCTTTGATTGAAAAAATGAGATGGCTTCAAGACTGGTGAACTCAAGGCCATTATTAGTTCTTATAGTTTTGATACTAGTGTTGAATTAATTTTCTATCATGGCAGAAAAGGCCTTGATAGTGTGCAAGGAATTGCTTTTACAGCTCAACAAATGAGTCCATGTGGACCTGCTGTAATCATTCACAAGGGTGATGAAGTATTTATATTTGTTGTGTGTTGTAACATGATATGGACCCCACAGATTAATGTGTAATAACTCAAAGACCTTAGTGGTTAGTGTTGTTCTTTCTAGGAAAGGCAATCTGGTTTGTCTTGCCATTGGATAGATAGGGCAAAGAAAAGGCTGTTTAGGTGCAAATTTAACAGGCATGGAGGAACCCCTTCATTTTGACAAAATGCACATTTTCTAATAATCTGTTATGCCACAAAAGATCAAGCAAATTCTTTGTAGTAGAGGAGATATCAGACAAACAAGAATCACTTTTATTACTTGAGCTATTTACAGAATGATGCAAATGTGGAAGAGAACTACTTTTATCATTACTATGAGATGGAGCGACCAAAGTAGATGCAACAGGAATGGTAGAATCTGGCTTATTTGTGCTAGCTAACTAAGAAAAAGAAAATGAACTAGATGTGTTAAATGCAACCTCATCTTTATTACTAGTAAGACATGGATAGGATGCACTAGAAAAATAAGAGGAAGTAGAACCAGTGTTGTAGTTGTTTGAATGGTGTAACTACAGGCCGGTCTTGGCCTTACCAATCTCCAGTGGCCTCTTCAGTGAAGGGCCCTATAGAAGAATACAAACAAATTTGGTAACTATCACAATACAATCAAGTTGAACTGCTAGGGAATGGATTGATATTAAATTGAACCTCGAACTGGGGACAAAGAGGACCTTTTTGAGACTGAACCTAGGACTTAGAATTACATCACCAATCAGTGTCACCTTAAATTTGTAGCCATTGGGTAGAGTAACTAGGTATGGGTAAACTAAAGTTTTGATATTGGTTAGTAGTGATTTATTATATATCATATGGTTTGTGGCTCTAGAGTCAAGAATCCAAGAGTCAACACTTGAATTAGAATTATCACACAATTGATCACTAGAGTCAAAATGAGTAGAGCATGTTGAGATACTTGCAAAGTTCCTCCATTTATGGTAGTGTTTGTGGATTTGTCTCCTCCTCCTTGAAAGCTTTTCAAGATGTTGAGTAGCTGTCCATATTGCTCCTTAGTTAAATTATGCATAGTTCGACCGTGTTCCTGACCCTGAGAGTCATTTCCATCATCCTTCATTGCAGCACCTTCACTTGATGATCCAAACACATTTCCTGTAATCCTTCTTCCTTTATTGAACTTGGAATTTTGTGGGAATCCATGAAGTTTGTAGCTTTTTTCCTTAGTGTGTCCTGGCCTTTTGCAGTAGTCACAGAACAACCGAGGTCTATTATTGAACTGATTCCCTCTATATCTACTGTTTGTGTTATTGTTCCCCTGTTGAGTATAGTTTGTTCTGAAATTATTATTTCCTGGTCCAGTTGCATTCAAGGAAGCAGGTTCCATTGAAAAGTGATTACTCGGCTTTACTTCCCTTTGCTTCTCCTCTTGAATAAGAATAGAAAAAGCTTGTGCTATTGTTGGGAGTGAATTCATCATCAAAATGCTTCCTCTTATCACAGTGTACACCTCGTTAAGCCCCATCAGAAACTGAATCAGTCTTCTTTCTTGCTCAGCTTTGTGCATGTTTTCTTTAGCTCCACATGTGCATTTGCAATCACACTTAGCATGTATGTTCAGTGTGTTGAGTTCCTCCCAAAGTTTCTTCATTTTTGTGTAATATCCAGTGATGTCCAAATTCCCTTGACTCAAATCATTTATCTCCTTATGGAGCTGATACAATTTAGCACCATTAGTCCGATCATACCTGTCTTCCAATTCCTGCCAAAGTTCTCTGGCATCATTAACGTACTATAGGTTGTCTGCTAAGTCCTTAGACAGTGAATTTAATATCCACGAAATCACCATATCGTTGCACCATTCCCATTGGTCGAGAGTAGTAGAGTCAGGATCTGGTTATTTACATTTTCCGGTGATGAAGCCTACTTTATTTTTCACGGAGAGTGCTCGTAGGATTCCTCTTCTCCATGATCTATAGCCAGTTCTATCAAAAGCCACCAGGACTAACATAGATCCAGCTCTTTCCAACGGATGCATGTACAGCGGACTTGTAGAATCTAGGGTTGTCTTATCCGTCACCGAAATTTCGTCATCTCCGACCATGATTTAGTTCACCAAAGATGAAATATTTTCTAGCAAAAACGAATCACTGGTCAATAGACTAATCGATCGATTTTTACACAGCAACCCTAATTCCCAAAATCAGCAAACAATTTCTGTTTGTATGAGAGAAAAATCAAAATATGAGACAACGAGACTCTAGGGCTAATACCTGTGCTCTGATACCATGTGAAATTGAAAGATAGACGAGAGAGACACGAGCTCAGTGTGAGCTCTTGTAACGATCCGACCGGTCGTTTTGAGATTTTGCACTTTGATCGTCAGCTCTCGGGCATGACTTGCCCCGTGTGGTGTATTATGACTTATATAAATCGTTGGTTTTGGTTTCAGGTTAATCGGAATGAATTTGGAAGAACAGTTCCCAGTTTGAAGCTTGAAATTTGAAAGGTTTGACCAAAAATTTGACTTGTTTGTATATGATCTCGGGTCAGAATTTTTATGATTTGGTTAGCTCCGTTAAGTGATTTGGGACTTAGGAGCGTGATCGGAATGTGTTTTGGAGGTCCGGTGTAGAATTAGGCTTGAATTGGCGAAAGTTAATTTTTGGCGTTTTCCGGTTGATAGGTGAGATTTTGATATAGGGGTCGGAATGGAATTTCTGGAAGTTGCAGTAGCTTCGTTATGTCATTTGAAACGTGTGTGCAAAATTTCAGGTCATTCGGACGTGGTTTGGTTGGGTTTTTGATCAAAAGTAGAATTCGGAAGATTTTTAGAAACTTAGGCTTGAATCCGATGTGTTTTGGTTGATTTGATGTTGTTTGAAGTGTTTTGATGATCGAAAAAGTTTGAATAAGGTATTAGGATATGTTGGTGCCTTTGGTTGAGGTCCCGGGGGCCTCGGGTGAGTTTCGGGTGGTCAATCGGATCATTTTGAAGTTGGAAAAATTGCAGAAGTTGCAGGTTCAGCTATTGCAGGTTTTTACTCTTCGCGTTCGCAAGTGGACCCCCGCGTTCGCGAAGAGTCAGTGGAGGTCAGTGGAAGATTAGCCTTCGCATTCGTGATCTGGGCTCCGCGTTCACGAATGGATGGATTCTCGTTCATCGCGTTCGCGATATGGAAGTCGCGTTCGCGTAGGGTCTTTTTGGTCAGCTGGTCTGAGGTCGTGTTTGTTATTCGCGTTCGCGAGAGAGGGTGTGCGATCGCGAAGGGTAAGCCTAAGGAACCATCGCATTCGCGATGGTCATGTCGCGTTCGCATAGAGGAAAAATTGGTCAAGGTAAGTTTGTGCTTCGCGAACGCGAGGGTTTGACCGCGTTCGCGAAGAAGGAAAATATGCCTGGGCAGAATGTTTTTAAGCTTGTCTTGTCCGCGATTTCTAGGCTTATTTCCTCCATAGTTGATCATTTTGGGAGCTTTTTTGAAGGAGATTGAAGAGGGATTCAAGGGGAATTACTTTGAGGTAAGATTCTTGGACTAAGAACTCGATTATTATGTCAATTCCACCTAGAAAATCATGAAATCTAAGCCAAAAGTTGGAGAGCTAGGGCTTAAATTGGAGACCAAACATTTGGGATTTGAAGGGTCATTTGTAGATGGATTTTGATGTTCTTGGTATGTATGAACTCGTGGGGAGATGGGGAATCTATTGGTGTAAAAATTTCTGAGTTTTAAGACGTGGGCCCGGGGGTCCGGTTTTGGTAATTTCGGGATTTGTGCCCTTTATTGATTGTTTTCGCTTGGGCTTTGTTCCCTTGGCATATTTTGACGTTCTCGTTCTGATTTTAGATAGATTCGACGCGCGTGGAGGCCGATTCGAGGGGCAAAGGCATCGCGAGCTAGAGATTTAGCCGGTTCGAGGTGAGTAATGATTGTAAATGATGTTCGGAGGGTTTGAAACCCCGGATTGCACATCATAGTGCTATATTGAGGTGAGGCACACGTTTGATGACGAGCGTGGGGTCGTAAACTATTGGGGATTATGACTTGGTCTGTCCCGATTGATGATTTTACCGCGTATTTGATTGAAAAATTATTTGCTATCATTGTTTTTTGGGTTGAATGCCATATTTGGGCTTCGAGCCAATTATTTGAACCCTTCGGGGATTTTTGTTGATATTTCCTCACTGTTTTGACTTTATACTTCAACTCAATCATGTTATTTTCCACTGTTTCCAAAACTCAGCCATGTTCACTCAGTTTTAATACTCAAATGATATTTAAATGATGTTTTGGGCTGAAAAATACTGTTTTACTGTTGCCCGAGAGGCTTACGTGATTTTGATTGAGTAAGGCCGAGGGCCTGTGTTGTGAGGATATCTTTTGGGTCGGGTTGCACGCTGCAGCGGTGATACATTGATATTGATTATGAGGCCGAGGGCCTGAGATTGTACGCCACGAGGTGGCTTGATATTGATTATGAGGCCAAGGGCCTGAGATTGTACGCCATGAGCTGGCTTGTTATTGATATGAGGTCAAGAGCCTGTTTATGATGCCACGAGATGGCTTGATATTGCGCGTGGGCTGTAAGGGGCCCCTCCAGGAGTCTGCACACCCCCAGTGAGCGCGGGTACCCATTGTGATGTGAGATATAGCCCGAGGGGCTGGTATGTTTCTATGTTATTGCTCGAGGGGATGGTACTGTTCTGAGATATTGTCCGAGGGGCGGATTTGTTGACATTGTGCCCGAGGGGCGAACCTTATGTGCTTATCTTTCTTATTTGCCTGTCATTTACCTGTTTAATTGTGTATTTGTGCCCGAGGGGCGGATTTCTGTGCTTATCTGCACTAGTTGTTCTGCATTCATTTGCGTAACTGTTGAAAAAGTCATTTTCAAAGAAGTTTAAACTGAGCTAAGATGTTTTAAGAGATTTTACAACTTCATTGCTTTCTTACTGGTTTCTGAATTGCTTCTATACAGCATGTTGATGCACTTTTCGTGATTTCTTACCATTCAGACTTTAGTTATGATTATTACTCACTGAGTTGGAGTACTCACTTTACTCCCTGCACCTTGTGTGCAGATTCAGGTATTCTACACCCGGTAGCGGGTTTTGGCTGATCGGAGGCAGAGTTATCGGAGTTTAGCAAGGTAGCTGCCGGCGTTCGCAACACTGCTTTTCTCCCTCTTTATTTCATTAGTCTGTATTTTGTGCACTTCGGACTTTTAGTTGTATTCAGACCTTAGTAGATGCTCGTGACTTGTGACACCCCGGTTAGGGCTGTGTTGGGTTGTACTTCCGCATTTTATTAATATTATCCGCTACTTAGTATCATTAAATCATGTTTTAGACTGTTTTATGTTGTTTAACTGTGTTAAAAAGTGAATTGGGTTTAATTGGCTGGCCTTGTCTTCACGTGAGGCGCCATCACGACCGGGTTCGGGTTTAGGGTCGTGACAAGTTGGTATCAGAGCCTAGGTTAGATAGGTCTCACGAGTCATGAACAGGTTTAGTAGAGTCTCGCGGATTGGTACGGAGGCGTCTGTATTTATCCTCGAGAGGCTGCAGAACCTTTAGGAAAAACTTCACATTCTTGAATTCTTATCGTGCGTCCTTGATTTAGCTTGAAAAGTAACTCTTGAAATTCCTTCCACGCATTCGTATGCGCGAACGAGCGCTCACTATCAGATGTGCATCGATGGCTTGTGATTCCCTAATTGAGGGGTGAGATGTGATCTCCATGTGCTGATGTTGGGCCAGTCTGGAGGACTCGAGGCCGGATTTTGCCTATAGCTTGAGCACCGGGGTGCTGATTGTGTGAGCACGTGTTTCTGGAACTACATGTTCTTTTGTGTCCTTATTAAGGGGAGTAATGACTGGATAGTTACGTTATGAGGGTGATGTGACTGCGAGATGCATTCGTATGATTTGGAAGCGACGAGAAGGGTCTGCTGGAGGATAGAAGGACTATTAGGTGCTTGATTTCCGTCTTGATTCGAGTTATAGCCCCGAGTTATGGGCGTGTTAAGATTCTTTCATGTTTCCTAGTTGGGACTGGAGTAAATTTCATGTTGCGATATGAGTCCAGACTCAGGAAGACTAAGTGACTGCGTAATGTTTATGAAGGTGGAAGGTATACAGAAATGTTAGTTTGAGGCAAACAGGTGAGTTATCTCCTGCGGAGTGTTCGAAAGTTGTGTGATCCTTACGTTGTTTGTTAGAAGATCCCATTTTCAAGTGAAATATATGTGTTTAAATTTAAATTTTGGTCGCTTAAGAGAGTGGGTTTAACTGTTACGAGGGTGAATGCGATATATGCAGAAGATTTAAAGTACTAAATGGTCTGTGTTTCACGAGCTGATGAAGGATTGAGTTTAATCTCACTATGGTATTATGGCAGCAATAGAGTATATGCATTATGAGTTATTGTGTGTGTTTCGATCTATGGCTTCGAACCAAGTGGGGGAGTCTGCTATTGAGTTGTTGATTGCACGGTTATGTGCTGCATTGGTTCTGGTTGGAGGCGTGCTGGTGAGTCAGTTATGGCCTACGGAGATTGAGACCGAGGATGGCTCGAGTGAAGGAAAATTCTTGGTAAAGGTTATAGCATGCTTCATAGGTGTGTGAGAATTCACGGAATATCTTGAGTTGTTGTGGGTAAGTAATGCTCGGTGCATAGAATAGGAAGTGGTTTGGTTGCATTAAGGCAAGGTTACATCCTGTGGTGTCTGAGGTGCTGGTTGTTCGGTTCTTTTGATCGGACTAATTGCAGTTTGGGTAGAATGGATGACTCTAGAGAATGGTTCTAATGTGTTCTAAAATTTTCATGCAATAATTGGAGACTTTCAAGTTGTTCTTGTGGCTAGAAACTAAGGTTTTGCATTTGGAGGGTGACAATACTTGCGTCATTTCTATATCGGTTATGGGATTATATACATCAATATTAGGAAAGTAATGTCTACAGATTCGCAGTAAGTCTTTTCAGGATAGGTATTTTGAACGTGGTGCTTTTGGGAACATTTAAAAGAGTATTCAGCGGGTTGTGAGCCTTAGACTGTATGGTATTATGCTTGGGTCCATTGCGGTGAGTCTGGGTTGAGGAA